CCAGAAGCAATGGGCCAGCGGGGACTCCCAAAGCAGCAGCGGGAGATCAGGACCAGCTTTCCCACCAGAGCGTAGCGGGGGGAAGAGTCCCATGTGTCAGGGCCAGCGTCTCCTCCAGCAGGGAGAGAAGATGAGTCAGGGCTGACCACGCCTCTATCGGAGAGTGGGGGAACGGAGGGGAGGTCAGATCCAGCTAGCCTCCCCGAAGGGGGAAGCAGTGACAGGAGCAGTGTAACGGTCAGGTGACCGGCTGGGCGCGCGCGCCAAGTTCGAATGTACAGGCGCGCGGGACAGCAGAAAACCCGGATTGGGAAGCAGGTCCTAAAGCCCGCCGGAGGCAGGGGGAAGACTCAGGGGACTCAGCGTCAGAAGAGTCTAGGAAGGGGAAGACCCCAGCGGACAGGCGGACCCAGAGGAGGAAAGAGCAAAGGAAGAGGTGGAGCAAGGCTAGAGTCTTAAACTGGTGTCTGGGGGGAGGAGACTCAGACGGAGCTTCGGCGGTCTAGAGTTGGAGACGTAGAGCTGCGCGCCGCGGCTGTGAAAGCGAAACTGAGCTTCAATAAAGACTGTTTTATATAACAACGAACTGGCGTTGGTCCTTTGTGAGCTGGGACCTCGGGCAGCTCTGACAACGAGTATCTTCGTCTTGCGAAGCACGGCTATTAGCGGCTTAGCGGCTATTAGCGGCTTAGCGGCTATTAACGGCTTAGCGGCTTTAAGAAAAAGGAAACAAACTCGCAAGACGTTTCGTCTTGCGAAGCAAGCCCATAGGGAAATTCGTCTTGCGGAACGACTCAAAAAACGGAAAATCCTTTTGTCTAGCGAGTTTTTCATCTTGCAAGGCATTCGTCTTGCGGGGCACCACTGTACTGTATGTAGACCATATAGGTCTGAATGGACCGGGGGTTAGAATGAGCAGATTCATATAATGTGTAATACAAATGTGTCAAATCCACAATATAAAAACTGTCCTCAGTTCAGTTTATAGATTTCCTCTATTATTTCATCTACCACTTATTACTTCCCTTTTTTAAATAATTCTTTTAAACATCTGACAAATATTAACAATAATAAGGAGAACTGCTCCAGAAAAAAATACTTCAGGTCATAATGTTCTGAAAGAAGATATGACTTAACATAAAATTACAATATTTATCCTTTAAAAAACCCTCAAAACATACAGTAGTACCTTGGGTTAAGAACTTAATTTGTTCTGGAGGTCCATTCTTACCTGAAGCACCACTTTAGCTAATGGGGCCTCCTGCTGCTGCTGCGTCGCCGCTGCACGATTTCTGTTCTCATCCTGAAGCAAAGTTCTTAACCCGAGGTAATATTTCTGGGTTAGCAGAGTTTGTAACCTGAAGCATCTGTAACCTGAAGCGTCTGTAACCCGAGGTACCACTGTACTTGCATTTGCTTTCATGGGAAGTAATTATATAAGAGGCAACAAGTTTTCCGAGAATTTATTTCTGTATTCACTTGCAATTCTCGCTCTTAGATAAGATGTTACTTTCTCCATTATAGCCGAATCCCAAACTTTAGTAAGTCATTCTTTCCAAAAAGGGATTAGTGTAACTTTCTAGTTTGGCCTCATGCACAAGTTTTTCTGTAACATTTGTTCTTTCCTGTTCTTTCCTGGTCTGGTCTGGTTTGGTTTTGTTCCAGTACTATGTCCCCACTATGGAAGGACGTGTGGATGCAGAATTGGCCTCCACAGTCACTTACGGACTCACTGTTAAGACTGTGTTCATGGAAGACAATCTTACTCAGTTATGAATGATCGCCAAAGAAGAAGAAAGATAATTCACAATCTAACCTTAAGCCAAACATAAAAGGCTTTCCTCTACACTGGGACTTGCCTGACTTATTTATATTGCAGTTTTTCTAGATATCTGCAGTCCCCAAATGATTTGATAAGACAAATAGATGTCTTATCTTGGCACATTTTCCTGGGCTTCCAGGTTAAGAGTTGGGCGCAAGACACAAAGGTGAAAGAGATCAATCTAACAAAAGGTTTAGACGTAAGGGAAGAACAGTGGGGGGGGGGAGCTCCTAAGCACACCTACTTGGGATTCATCAAAAAGCAACATTTTTACTACAGAATATATGTGCCCACGGGGGAGAGAAGGCAAGCAAAATGCAAGGGAGATAGTGAAAGATACAGGAAATTGAATGCAGATTTCCAAAAAATAGCAAGGAGAGACAAGAAGGCCTTCTTAAACGAGCAATGCAAAGAAATAGAGGAAAACAATAGAATGGGAAAAACCAGAGATCTGTTCAAGAAAATTGGAGATATGAAAGGAACATTTCGTACAAAGATTACCATAATAAAAGACAAAAGTGGAAAGGACCTAACAGAAGCAGAAGACATCAAGAAGAGGTGGCAAGAATACACAGAGGAATTATACCAGAAAGAAATGGATGTCTCGTAGTGTGGTTGCTGACCTTGAGCCAGACATCCTGGAAAGTGAAGTCAAAAGGGCCTTAGAAAGCACTGCTAATAACAAGGCCAGTGGAAGTGATGATATTCCAGCTGAACTATTTAAAATTTTAAACAATGATGCTGTCAAGGTGCTACACTGAATATGCCAGCAAATTTGGAAAACTCAGCAGTGGCCAGAGGATTGGAGAAGATCAGTCTACATCCCAATCCCAAAGAAGAGCAGTGCCAAAGAATGCTCCAACTACCGCACAATTGCACTCATTTCACACGCTAGCAAGGTTATGCTTAAAATTCGACAAGGCAGGTTTAAGCAGTATGTGGACCGAGAACTCCCAGAAGTGCAAGCTGGATTTCGAAGGGGCAGAAGAACCAGAGACCAAATTGCAAACATGCGCTGGATTATGGAGAAAGCTAGAGAGTTCCAGAAAGACATCTACTTCTGCTTCATTGACTATGCAAAAGCCTTTGACTGTGTCGACCACAGCAAACTATGGCAAGTTCTTAAAGAAATGGGAGTGCCTGATCACCTCATCTGTCTCCTGAGAAATCTCTACGTGGGACAAGAAGCTACAGTTAGAACTGGATATGGAACAACTGATTGGTTCAAAATTGGGAAAGGAGTACGGCAAGGCTGTATATTGTCTCCCTGCTTATTTAACTTATATGCAGAATTCATCATGCGAAAGGCTGGACTGGATGAATCCCAAGCCGGAATTAAGATCGCTGGGAGAAATATCAACAACCTCAGATATGCAGATGACACAACCTTGATGGCAGAAAGTGAGGAGGAATTAAAGAACCTTTTAATGAGGGTGAAAGAGGAGAGCGCAAAATATGGTCTGAAGCTCAACATCAAAAAAACGAAGATCATGGCCACTGGTCCCATCACCTCCTGGCAAATAGAAGGAGAAGAAATGGAGGCAGTGAGAGATTTTACTTTCTTGGGCTCCATGATCACAGCAGATGGTGACAGCAGCCACAAAATTAAAAGACGCCTGCTCCTTGGGAGAAAGGCAATGGCAAACCTAGACAGCAGAAGAGAAGACTCTCTGGAAAAGACCCTGATGTTGGGAAAGATGGAGGGCACAAGGAGAAGGGGACGACAGAGGACGAGATGGTTGGACAGTGTTCTCGAAGCTACAAACATGAGCCTGACCAAACTGCGGGAGGCAGTGGAAGACAGAAGTGCCTGGCATGCTCTGGTCCATGGGGTCACGAAGAGTCGGACACGACTAAATGACTAAACAACAACATATGTGCCCACAATAGTCCTACCTGAAAGTGAGGGACATTTTAATTCTGCAGCACTGTAAGAATGTACAATGCTCTACTAGCATACAGGCAGTGGTGGAGCTTCACCCTCCGGACCAGGGGGGGCAGAGAGCAGGCACCCTACCGGGATCGCACTGCCGGGGGCAGTACGCTCCCCCCCCACTCCTCTTCCTCCACCAGTGTATACAGGGAAAAGGTGCAGTTGGGGGGTGCAGAGTAAGGCCTCAAAGGTTAAAGACTGTAGGGCACTGTAGCATACTAGAAGCAACATTGAAGAGGGACATGACTGCAAGGTGAGTAATTGATAAGCCAAGTGAACTCCCTGAAGAGAGAGACAGAACTGTAAGGGGCTCTGTAACTAAAAGGCCGAACAAACATAATACTTGGTAAGTGATGAGAGTTCTGGACTTTTTCCTGGAGGAATCAGGGAATTACCAGAAGCCACACACACACACACACACACACACACACACACACACACACCGTGAATATGAGGGTTTTGGGGCTCTCAGGGCACATTGAGCCTAAAACTAAACCATCATACTGAAGGGAAAGCAGCAAGCAATCTCACAGAAGCAATCTCATAGCATTGTAGAAGTGGAAAGAACCCTGAGGTCCACCCCCTGCAATCCAGGAATCTGCAGCTGTCCCATACGGGGATGAAACCTGCAATCTTGGTGTTATCAGCACCACACTCTAACCAACTGAGCTATCCATTCTGTCACTTTCTCCTATGTGATCCTGATCCTCAAATCCTCCTTTGATAACTCATGAAATGCACCATGACAATGGAGTTGATGTTTGTATAGCTGTGGCATTTCTCCACAGTTCTCCCTCCACATAAGAAGTGGGGAGAAGAGCCACCATGTCCTCCTGAGGCACTTTCAAGGTTAGACGTTTGCAGCTGAAGAAGCAGGATAGTCTCACTCTCTTCACAGAGTTGCACCCAGGTGGCATAGCTGCCCTTCAGAAACCAAGCTGCATGGCTGCCTCAGTCACTCAATGGGTTGCTTAGAAGAGGGGCTCCCTGGATAACTAAGGGTGGATAACCCTGGATAACCATGAAGAAACTGCCCAACAACAACATGGTTATTTCCAGTCTAAATCAGGCAGACAGCCCATTACACAGGTGTGCCTGCGCAGTCTGGCTTTCCAGCAGCATCCATGCTCTCAGAACAACATACAACCTGGCCCAGTGACAATTCCAAAAGAGCAAAGGCTCTGCCCTGTTTAGTCAACCACAGTTATTCATCCTCTACCACATTCAACTGTCTGTGACTCTTACCTCTGCAGCCAAGTAGTTTCCAGTCGCTAGATGTTTAAATCTGAACAGGCTGTTCCATTGCCCTGCTCCTCCACGGCATGGATCATGATGCACCACCTGCAGAAATAGTGCATGAGATCTATCACATAAAGAGAATGCTTGGACACTACCCTTTAGGAGGTAAATATTATGAACTCTCTGAATCCAAGCTAGGGAAAACATCAGAAGCATCACACAGTACCTCTATTTCCCACAGAGCTTTAGAACTAGTTGCAGAAGTGGCTGACTGACGCAGTGTTGTCCGAAGGAAGATATGTTGCTTCTTCTGATACTCATCACAGGTCAGAAACTTCTCCTGTTCTGCGTGGAACAATCTGACAACATCTCCCTGAAGAAACACAAAGACAAAAGTGAAGCTTTGCCAAAGTTATCGTAGCAAGAATACTTCTCTGTTAGATTCAAGTGTCTATACAATTTATATAATGATTAAGGTGTCCATGATGTGTTTGAAACCAAGGTCTTCCCTTCATTATAGTCGGAGGGCAGCAACACAAGAACAGGCCTTTACTGCGGTGGCTCCTCCACTTGTGGAATGCTCTCCCCACAAAGGCTCACCTGGTGCCTTCATTACATATCTTTCGACACCAGGCAAAAATATTCTTCTACCAGGCCTTTGGCAATTTAATTTAATTTAAACAATATATGCCATTTTAAACTGGTGGGGTGGAATTGCTTTTGTTTGTTACTATGTTGTATATTTTTGTCTTTTTACATTGAAACTGCCCTGTGATTCTGGGATGAAGGGCAGTTTAGAAATAATAACAATTCATTAAAGGGGGAAGAGGAGATGGATGCAGTTTGCTCGCATACTTTGCAATGAAACACAAGCAGCTTGCCTGGTGAAGCAGTGCTGCTGCTGTGTACCAGGAAAGAGAGGTGTGAGGTAGTTGAGAATTTGGGGTTGTGCCGATGCACTGGCGGAGCCAATCCTGTTCTCATGGTCATGTGCCCACATAGCCCCAACTTCACTACCACCTTCTCCCTCCCTTTCCTACTACAAAGCAGCAACACTGCTAGTGGGAGGCTATTGTTGCAGCTCTGTACCAGCAGGTTAGCTGCTCATGCAACGAAATCATCACTCTTCATGGCTAATGAACAAAAGAAAACAATGAACAATATGGAACAGGTGCATTTTTATTCTATTTAAAACCAATTTCAAACTACATGATTTGTGGTCTCTTGCTCATGTACAAAAAGCAAACAAACAAACAAACAAACAAACAAACAAACAAACCCAGTATTACCATTTCAAAAACATCAATATTTTTCTCATTCATACTTACACCTTTGAGTACATCTTCTCTGTAGCAACTGTATTTCATGAATAAAGTTATCTTCCAGCTGGTATTGCAGTTGACCGCATTTACCTGTAGTCAAATGCAGATAACATCTATAGGTTATGTTGCAGAAGGCCCAGACACTAATGCTTCTGGAGCATTACAATCTGACAAGGCTCATGCTTGCCAACGTCTACTATGATAGCTATTGTTTTCAAGACAATTTCAATTATAATATGCCACTGACACCCCACCGCCCCCAAAAAATCTGGAATTAAACAATTATCTGTAAATACATGAAACTTTGTTGGCACGACCACTTGTCTAGGTTGCTGTTAAAAAGGAAAAGGAAAAAGTAATAGTCAAGCTCACAGAGGATAAGAACATGGTCTGGAGGCACATAATTCAGGAACCTGGTTGAAGCTAAGGAGGTTTGCATGTGATCAGTATCTAGATGAGAGATAACTGGGGAACTCCATGTACACTTCCCTGAGTTCCAGGATGAAAGGTTGGGGTGCAAAACACAATATGCAAATAAATAGGTAAGTATCAGATAGCTAACCAAAGTCTCAACATGTAAAGGCAGTTTACCTTTGAATACCAATTGTTGAGAACAAACAATAGGAGACAGTGGCCACCTAGACACTCCTGGGACAGAATGCACATTTGGGGGGGGGGGATGCAGCTACTATCTCTATTACCTAGTAAGTCATACACTTTCATCTGATTTTTAGAATGCCAGTGCTCTGGTGCATGTTAAAAAGAAGAAAACATTCACCTCCTAACAGCATTAGTAAATAAAAACAGCACAGTGTTGTTGAGTGGCAGGAAGCAGCAATGGCATGCGAGAGGTGTAGTTACCCATGGCCTCCTAAAATTTCCTCTTCTGTACAACTATTAAAGGTGCAGAATCTCTAACCTCTTTTGCATGGAGCTACTCTACGTCAGTCTCTTAATTCTGCCTATAGTTGCCAACAAGTTGTAGTTTCCTCTCGGTCTGCTACTGATCCCACACCCTAACTCTACATACCAGAACCACAGGCCTCTGTCAAACTCACCTCTTTGCACCCAGGGTTATCCAGAAGTTCTATGTTGCTGGCATGAAGAGGCTGCCCTGCATTGACCGGCATCAGCACAACTTTGTCCCCTACAACAATCTGGAGGACAGAAGTTGGAAAAGGAGTTATATATCGTAATTCAATTTCCTTTCACATGGATGATTATTTTAGTTCCTTCTTTTCCTCCTATTTAAAGTGAGACCCCATTCATAGGCTTGGTATAATAGCTAACTGCAGGGTGGCCAGATGCAAAAGGGCGCAGACTTCCTGTACCTTTATCAAAAGGTTCCTATATCTTTCTACAAAAGCTCAACTTGGCTGAAATTCCCTGTTAAAGGTACAGGAGCCCAGTCCTCCTCTGCCTCTGGCAGCCCTTAGATAAACTATGAAATCTCAGATTTCAGTTTTCCAAATAAATAAATGTCCTGGGAATTTTAAGAAAGAGTGAGCAACCTGTGGAACATGAAGGTCATCATGTTGGAAAGGTTATTAATTTGTTTTTTTCTGGAATGAGCTTTGCAAATTGAGTGGTTGGCCCTTTTGTTATTTATTTATTTCCTTTAATTTATGAGTCACCTCCTATGAAACATCTAAAAACAACAATAAAAACATATCTAAAACAATCTCATTTTAAAAAAAGAATAAATAAATGTATGTATAAAAACAATTTCACATCCAAGATTACGTAATACATCTAACAAACTGAACAAAAAGTTAACAGTACAATCTAATATGTGCCTACACAGAAGTAAGGCCCACTGAGTTCAACAGGACTTACTCCTGGAGAAGCATATATAGAATTAATTTGGGAGAATATATTATCTCTGGAAATTAAAATAGCTAATATATTTTAAAAGTTTATAAATAAATGACAATCTGTTACTGTGAAAAATGGCCATATATTAAAATCATATAAGGATTAAAAACACACACACAAACTTCTAAGCGGAGTGGGGGTTCCTGCAAAGGCAACTTTTTACTAGTGTGATCCAGAACATTCCACATTATGACAGCTACCCCCAGATTCTTAAGTCATTTTTTTGGGGGGGAGCACTACAGAAATACAATCACATTAAAATCAGTGGCAAAATTCTGTTGATTTCTAGTGATCTGGAATGCCTCTTTTACCACAGATTTCTGTGATTTCCTAACCAATCTCATTTGCCCAGGTTTTTCTCATTCTTCACATTTTTAGACTGTTGATTTGCTTTCAGCAGACATGTGCTGCCTTTCAGGACTAACACTCCCAAGGTGCTCACAACATACGCTACAGTGAATTCTGTACATTTTAATAATTACACTCTAAAAATGTGTTAAGTCTAGTCTGGCACTCATCTGCTCTATTTGTTTTGATTATATTGTTTCATTGCTTTTAAACCTTTATTGACTGATGTGAGACATTGTCAGCTGAAAAACAGAAAAATGAATGTCCAAAATAAGGTAAACAGATTGATAGTTCCATTGCTAGCTATATCCATTTGCTGGTATGGTATTATATACAATTGGTTCTTGGATACTTGGCCTCTCAAATTGCCTCCCACCTAAAAACAAAGAGATCATTTGCATTGTATGAATTTCTATACGGGAAGACGAGAAATATCTTAAGATGCAGTGGAGTAAGATTTTACAAGATCTGATCTAATTACATACAGGTGATGGCAAAGTCCACAACAATTCAGTGTACATTCCATCATACAGAACAATTATACACACAAGCTAGAACTACAAAGTGACTGATATGAATGGTGAACACGATCCATGCTTTCTTTGCAACACATGCACAAATGTCTTTGCTCCTTAACCCATTTGCCAACATTTTGACAGAAAGCAAAATTCATAATTTATGTAGCTCCAGTAGAACTGGCGTAAAGATGCAGATCAGCTGACTAAATTATGGCAACTGGTTGGTTACAGCTTGAGGACGGTCAAATATTTTCAAGAATACTTATGTAGATGAGTGACACATTAGCTTTTATTAAATCATGGGGTCACTCAACAAACAATATTGAAGGCTCCTTGCTTCCTAGTACTTTGACACTCACATTGTCCTGCAACTTTAATCTCTCTCTGGAGAGTTTCTGCTCTCTCCTCCTAGTTAAGCCATACAGCATGAGTGCCAGTAATTGGAGATGGAACACTCATTAGGGTAGAATCATTCAGTGCAGAGCTCAATGGACGCAAATGGAAGCTTATTCCAATGGGCAGCTAATTAATCACCTTGGATAACGGTTATGTCATTCAAGCTGCATTACAAATAAGCCATTTGCTGTGGTTTACTTTGGTACTAATGCAATTTGAAAAGAAACAACTCTGAAGCACCTTTGTGGATTAAAAAAAAGTTTGGACAGGCTGGCAACAAGGTTTGTAAGCAGGAAATTTCTAATTTTCTCTTGCACTCAAGGGAGAATGCCGCACTGTTCATTTATTAGACAAATTATTTATTGAGCTCTTTGCGGGCAATTACTGTGAACAATTTTTCTTTAGTTAGAATGACACAAGTTCCCTTAACTGTTTGCAAGTTTTATTCCACCTAAACCCCTTAGGACCTACAGAGTGAGAGATTACAAAGACATCACCGAGCAGGATAAGGAAAGGGTTTAGGAGAAGGCACCAAGCAAACATAGGAAGGCAATAATCATTATGGCAAGGTCAGAAGTCCTCACCATACCTGCAAAGCTCTATAAAGCATCAAGGAGGGATGGCATCTTGTTGTCTTTTCTAGAAGCAAGTAGTTGGTTTTTTTAATTAGCATAATTTTATTAACATTTGAAAGACTATTATCTAACAATATTTGACCAGTTAATTGCCAACCCTAAGTAAAGTCAGAAATACTGGTTTGGAGTCACTATTTTTTCCTGGCATTTTTTTTAACAAAGATAGAAATAAACACGTATTATTTATTATATATTTTTTAAAGCCAGAACGTCTCCAATAAGAATGTGATGCCCTTTTTTACATAATGCAAAGTGTCCTTGCATGCCATGCTGCAGAAAAACATTACTTACAGCCATGTAAGGTCAGAGAAAACAAACCTGCAGAATTGAATCAATAATTTAAAATTCACTGAAAGTAGAAATCAAGCATAATAATATTTTTTATTAAAAAAAACCACTTCCATGTTAGTGAAATAATTGGTTCCATGTCTGAAGTCAGCAACTACTAACCCTGTGACTGAATCTAGCCAGGGGTGGCTGCTATCTGGCCACAAAGGGCTTTTCCTTTCCTCACCCATTACCACTGCTGTTGCCTAAAGACAGTATTTTCAGGGGTGGCACCACAGCCACAGAATGGCTTCCCAGAAAGGTCTGCCTAGTGCCTACTCTGTGGTTTTATCCACAGCAGGTGATGAGGTCTTTATTCTCTCAGGTGTTTTAGCAACATTTTAGTGCTTCTTAGATCTTTTCACTGCTGCTAACCATCACTAGTTTTATATTGTGTCGTTTTATTTTGCTGTAGATCTGGTGCATTGTTCGATTTTATGATTTCAACCATTACTATAAGCCACCCAGAGCTCTATGGCCATTGGGCAGTACAGAACCTAGCAAGTAAATAAATAAATACACTTAGGACAAGTTAAAGGGGAACTGTAGATGGCAAGAGGGCTTGTTACCTAGCAAATGAAACAATAGCTGTGCTCTCCCTCAGCTTTCAGAGGCAGCATGCCTTCATATACCAGTTGCTGGGCATCACAAGCAAGGGAAGTACTGTTGCACTCATGACCTCCTTGCAACTTCTCAAAGGCATCTGGATGGGCTTTGTGAGAACAAAATGCTGCATGAGATAGGCCTGTGGTCTGATGCTGCAGAGCTCTTCAGGTGTTAATAGCCCATTAGGTCTCCCCTTCTTGCTCAATTCCCTTGAATATGATTTCTGTCCCAAACCACCTTTTAGAATAATATCCCAAGATGCACTGCATCAGGATTTAAGCACATTGCATTATGGAGCAGAGCAACAAGCGCTGCACAACAAGGGTCATACAAAGATATCTAGTCCTAGAAAGATGGGGAGGTGGTAACAGTGCCTATTCCAGCAATTCCCAGAAACATATTTCATTCACTTACATTGTCACCTTCACTCCTCAGTTTCCAAAAGGGCTGGATGTAAAACCAGGACCCCTCATTCCCAGCAGCATCCAGAGAGACCCGCATAGCATTCTTCTCCAATAGGGCTGGCAACCTCTTATTCACTGTAAGGTATTTGTTGCTTTTTATGTGAAGTAGCTGTAAATAATAATAAAACAAATGAATGTATACATGTGTTCTGGATGAAGACTTTGGCCACAACTCAACCCACAATGAGGCCTCCCTTACACCAAAGGATTAATGCTTGTTGTAGCCAGCCAAGAACCACACAGAGGGATTGTCAAACACCTGGCTGGCAACAGTGCAAGCATTCAGCTCAGGAGGTCACAAGATATGTAGGCCAGATTTATAGCCGTGATATCACAGTTAGTAGGGCAAACATATTTTTTGAGAGAAATTAAACTTACACATGAAATTACTTCTGACAGTCTGAAAAAACACAATGTTTTAACATATTTCAAGTGGGTTTAACAACCTGCTCATTGGCAAATCATTGTAACTGGGAATAATTTCAATTATCAAAACATCAGCTAAAAACAATCCAACATGGGAGTTTGCATGGCTGAAGGCGACATGTTATTCAGCAATCATAAAACAAGATGTTAGTTAGGTGGTTAAGTGTACGACTGAATACCCACCTGACTTTTTTTTTGTCTGGTTAATCATCTCCAGGGGTAGCCAACATGACGCTCTGCAGACATTGTTGGGAGCAAACTCCCACTAGCCCTGTGTTGGTTTTTCTTTATCTTAAAGTGGTGCATGCTCTAGTTATCTCCCGCTTGAACTACTGCAATGCGCTCTACGTGGGGCTACCTTTGAAGGTGACCCAGAAACTGCAATTAATACAATACGGCCTCGGTCCAGTATACCTGAAGGAGCGTCTCCACCCCCATCATTCTTCCCGGACACTGAGGTCCAGCGCCGAGGGCCTTCTGGCGGTTCCCTCATTGCGAGAAGTGAGGCTACAGGGAACCAGGCAGAGGGCCTTCTCAGTAGTGGCGCCCGCCCTGTGGAACGCCCTTTCAGCAGATGTCAAAGCGATAAACAACTACCTGACATTCAGAAGACATCTTAAGGCAGCCCTGTTCAGGGAAGTTTTTAACGTGTGATATTTTACTGTATTTTTGGTTTCTATGGAAGCCACCCAGAGTGGCTGGGGAGGCCCAGCCAGATGGGGGGGGGTATAAATAATAAATTATTATTATTATTATTATTATTATTATTATTATTATTATTATTATTATGGCAGCTATACTGGTGACTGGGAGTGGCCACCAAGAAAGACCATATAACACGGGTCTTGAAAGACCTACATTGGCTCCCAGTACGTTTCCGAGCAGAATTCAAAGTGTTGGTGCTGATCTTTAAAGCCCTAAACAGCCTCAGTCCTGTATACCTGAAGGAGCGTCTCCACCTCCATCATTCAGCACAGACACTGACATCCAGCAACAAGGGCCTTCTGGCTGTTCCCTCATTGCGAGAAGTGAGGTTACGGGGAACCAGACAGAGGGCCTTCTCGGTAGTGGCACCCGCCCTGTGGAACACCCTCCCATCAGATGTCAAGGAAATAAGCAGGTATCCTATTTTTAAAAGACATCTGAAGGCAGCCCTGTTTAGGGAAGTTTTTAATATTTAATGTTGTATTGTTTTTAACACTTGATTGGGAGCCGCCCAGAGTGGCTGGGGAAACTCAGCCAGATGGGCGGGGAATAAATAATAAATAATAAATAATAAATAATAAATAATAAATAATAAATAATAAATAATAAATAATAAATTATTATTATTATTATTATTATTATTATTATTATTATTATTATTATTATGCTGCTCAGGAACCAGGCTGGTTTCAGAGGTGTATGTTTGCAGGTTGACCTACTTAGCAGCAGCACACCTGTGGTCTCTCAACTTTTTGCCTAATTAAAAGGGGTTACCGTATTTTTCGTTCTATAGGACGCACTTTTTCCCCTTCAAAAATGAAGGGGAAATGTGTGTGCGTCCTATGGAGCGAAGACGCCATAGCCCCGCGACCCTCTCCCAGCTGGAGAGGTGACGCGTGGCTATGGCAGGAGCCTCTTTTTTTTCCTTGTTCTCCCCCCTCTAAAACAAGGTGCATCCTATTGCCCGGTGCGTCCTATGGTGCGAAAAATACGGTACTTAATGCACTAGGTGCAGAAGGGGATGTGATAGGATAATTGGTTAATTGAAACTGTATTTAATTTGATCAAATGTCTTGTAAGCTGCTGGTGAGGAGGAGTGATGGCTTGCAGCGTTTGGCTATTATGTTTTTGAAAATAAAACTAAGGAAAGATACTGTGGACAGCTTTTTATTTCTACGATCCAATCGCTGTGCACACTCTGTGTTGATGAAGAAGTTCAGCACCCTGATCATTGGCTGAGACTGACGGGAGTCCCACAACATCTGCAGGGCACCATGTTGGCTACCCCGTACCACTCTATCTACTGCCTAATGACCATAATTTATGACTCCTTCCAAATTATTCTGATTTTCAGTTTTGACATGCCCAATTTCCACCATATCTTCCTTTTTTCATTTGTTTCTTATGGTGACCAAGTGCAAAGGAATATGAGCCTCCTTTGCCTCTAATCATGTGCATTATTTCTATAATGCCATAAATGTTCTACTAAGTCAGGCTTCCTCAAACTTGGCCCTCCAGATGTTTTTGGCCTACAACTCCCATTATCCCTAGCTAGCAGGACCAGCGGTCAAAGATGATGGGAATTGTAGTCTAAGTGTACTAAGTGATATAACAAAGAGAAAGGTCCCCTGTAAGCCCAGGTGCTTACAGTTTACATTTCTACACAAGATAAAGAGAGATAAGGGAAGATGGGGTACAGAGGAGCAGGAGATGACACTGGGCTGGTGCAACTTGTCATGCTGGGGTGAGGAAAACAGTGCTTCCTGAAACAGTCTCCCCTGCACTGTCATTAAAAGCAAAGGAGCCCTGCCCTTTCTTCTCTGCCTCTAGGCCAGGCTTCCTCAACCTCAGCCCTCCAGATGTTGGGATCATGGGAGTTGTAGCCAAAAACATCTGGAGGGCTGAGGTTGAGGAAGCCTGCTCTAGGCAATGCTTTCACACACTGATTTCACACATCAAAAAATCCGCTGTGGGGAACTCCCACTGCAGAGCTGATTGGTATGGCATGGAGGTATGTAATCTTTTCACACTCCATGCCATTTCTGATATATTTAAACTCCTGCTCACCTTGAGGTTTTGAGAAACTGACAGTCTAGTTTTCAAAGGCTCACCTGTATGACGTTGCTGTACTTCACAATTTCACCCAGCAGTTTCCTGTTCTCACATTCATTCTGCTTTTGTTCCAGTTCTGCAGCATGCTGCAAAATAGTCACAGTTTCTTGGAGTTTTTGTTTTGTTTTTGTAGTTTAAGTCACAAACTGTTACATGAACTCAACCTCTCAACCTTTAGCACTGGAGTGTGTGGGGATTTTTTTCAGACGGAGCACCAGATGGGTGGGGTATAAATAATAAAAGTATTATTATTATTATTATTATTATTGTCAGGGGCAACCCTTCTGGGGGGCACATGCTAAAGGTGTGTGGAGTGAAAGGCAGAAGACTGGTAGGGCCAGATCCAAAGGTAGGGAGAACAACAGATAGAACTCTTACTTTTGGGCCCATCTGCACTATCCATTTAAAGGACTGTGATACGACTTTAAACCATCATGGATTCCCCTAAAGCATATTGGGAACTGCAGTTTATAACGGGCTGATACTTATTTTCCTCACAGAGCTACACTTCCCAGAGTGTAAAAGAGAGATCAATTGTTGAACCACTCTGTAGCTCTGGGAGATGATGAAAGGCAAGGCAGTGGGTGGGGGGAGCTGGGATGGGGCAAATACATTGGCAGAGACAATCCCGCACTCCTACTTATGTACTTGCACCAGACCAACCTCCCAGCCACCTCACCCATCTCCCTCCCAGTATGCAACAGCAACCCACCTGTCAGGAACTAGCAGAGGGACTCTGGCACAGCCAGGGAGCCACCTCTGGGAGTAAGAAGGGAGAGAAAATAGTCCTTAGATGAAACAAAACGGGGCAGTTTCGAGTCATCTAAATTTGCTTTTTCTCAGCCCAGTGGAATTACCAGCTGGGAGAAAGTAAAGTTAGCTGCTGGAGAACTAACAGCTGTGCATCATGGCACTAACAAACAGCTGCATAAAAAGGCAACGAAGACTGGAAGCTCAGGTGCCACTTACTTGCAGCTTCTTCAGCAATGCGGCTTCCGTGTGGTTCCCTTGTTTTGCTTGCTTGGCTTTCCAGTATTGTTTCTGTGCAGAGTATCGGTTCATAGGACATACCTTAAAAAGGCAGTCTGAAGACAAGAAAACAAAATCACGTTTGTTTCTTATTTCCTTGCAGCAGTCAGCTATGATATTCTGCATATGTTTTTGATTAGAAAAATTCTTCCAAATTCCAGTTGTGGGGAATCACAAGCAGGAGAGTGCTGTTGCGCTCATGTCCTGCCAGCATTCTGCTTGGCTGCTGTGAGAACAGAAAGTTGTGCTAGATGTGCCTTTGGTGTGTTTGCATACAGAATGCCTTCAGTATTGATTAACACAGCCAGGTCTCAGGTCGTGCAGTACACCTTAATAATAAGGCTTCTGAATTCGGCTCAAGACCACAATACCTCAAGGACCACCTCTTTCCATATGAATCTACCTGGACCGTGAGATCACCTTCTGAGGCCCTCCTTCGTGTGCCTCCTCCTTGAGAGGTTCAGGGGGTGGCAAAATGTTTGAAGAAGGAAAGTGAAGTTTGCAAGATGGAGTTATAGCTGTTTTCTCATGAGAGACTGCAAGAGTCTGATGGTTTCAAACACCCCCAAGAAGGTGGGCTGTGTGCGCTGCTGATAAGTGTCACTTCAAATACACAAGAAGCTGTGTTGATCCTGTGCAAGCAATTAACTTTAAAGAAACCATTGTTAAGACTCCACAAATAAAAGACTTGGAGCCACCTGTTAACAAACCGGAACAATAATAGTTGTTGTTAAATATTGCTCTGTGCTTCCAAATGGAGCCGTTCTCTGCACTCTCCCTTGTTGTTCTTCTGGTGCTGAAGCTTCAAAATGTCCCTTCATCCTGATGTGGCAGTACCTCCTCTGCAGTGGCTTCCTGTCTGTGGAATGCTCTCCCCAGGGAAGTTCGCCTGGCGCCTTCACTATACACCTTTAGGCGCCAGGCAAAAACGTTCCTTTTCAGCCAGTTCTTGACTTGATCTACATCTTACACCCTTTTTAAAAATGCTGGCTCTTGGGGGAGGGTGTATTAGGTTGTTGTTTTTGTTTTCGTTTTTGTTTTATGTATTTGATATTTTATGTGAACTGCCCTGAGACCTTCGGGTATAGGGTGGTATAGAAATTAAATAAATAAATAAATAAATAATTCACTACTATCCCTTTTTTGTTTTGGTCTCATATTCACCAGGTGTGAAAAAAAGTAAACAATAAAAGCTAATTTTCACAGACCTCTGCTCTTGGGCCACTCTAGAGCAAGAAGAGCTAACAGCTCAATAAATTTAGTGCTTTTTCATCTAGTCAGTCCTAGATTTTCTGCAGAAGTGATGAACCAGCAAAATGCAAGGAAGTGTGTGGTGTAATTCAAACCATAAGGTTCCTGCCTTTGTAACTTATCCCAGCACTATTAAAAAAGCTCCAATAGACAAGTGGAGAAGACTCACAAACAGCAGGTGCAGACATTAGAAAACTCCAAACAGGCTTTGGAAAGCACAGCACAATGTGACGTAGAAATTGGCAAGTCTTATAAAGCCTACTGACCACTCCCCCCTCCTTCTGATTCATGTGGGTGCAAATAATACTGCCACACACAGCCACACATACTGCCACACACAGCCTGCAACACATAGCAAGGGACTATGAGACACTGGGCAGGGACTATGAGACACTGGGCATCACTCCTTCCTGTTGAAGGTTGTGGCCAAGAAAGAGAGAAGAAAATACTATGGCTGTGCAGAAAGAGAGAAGAAAATACTATGGTGTCGTCAGGAAGGATTTGGCTTCTTGGATCATGGTCTCTGCTTCCTTGAGGAAGGACTTCTGGTGAAAGATGGGCTGCACCTCACAGTGGTTGGCAAGAATGGCTTTGCTAAAAGTCTCAAGATCAGGTTAAAATGTGTTAAGATAATTATAGGATAGAAAACAGGGGAAGATGGAAAGGAATTGCTGAAATAATTATTAGAAGTGGAATACAAAAAGGGAGGTGTGAGGAGGTCGTGGAAATAGGGGAAACTTCCGGGTTGGCGCCATCGCCGAATGGCGGACTCCCTCCGAGCTCGGCAGGGGCTGGGTCCTACCGCGTATACCTGAAGGAGCATCTCCACCCCCATCGTTCTACCCAGACACTGAAGTCCAGCGCCGAGGGCCTTCTGGCAGTTCCATCGCTGCGAGAAGTGAGGTTACAGGGAACCAGGCAGAAATTTTTGATAGTAGGCATTTATGCACCAAATGAAGGAGAATCGGAATTTTTTAAGAAGTTACATGAGACCTTGATGGACTATATGGATTATAACATGATTTGATGGGTGATATGAATGGAGTGGTGTCTACAAATATGGACAAGGCACAGAGACAGGTAGTCACTAAGGATGGTAGACTACCAAAAACGTTTTTTGACATGACTGAAAATATGGATTTAGTTGACATCTGGAGAACAAAGAACCCTCTGGGAAGAGAGGGAACTTTCTTCTCTGAGGCTAAAATGACATGGACAAGAATTGACCAAATTTGGGTAACGAGAGGACTGGCTCCAAAGACTAGTAAAGTGGAAATCTGCCCCAAAACTTGCTCTGACCATAATGCTGTGAAGATGGAAATGAAACTGACGCCAATTGGTTCCTTTAGATGGAGGATGAATGATACTTTGTTTAGGAATGAAGAAGTGACTAAGAAGGCTCAAAAAACTTTGAGAGACTATTTTGAGATAAACGTGAACACTACCGTGGAAAAAAGAGTAATCTGGGATGCAAGTAAAGCGGTTATGAGAGGATTTCTAATACAACAGAATGTAATTAAGAAGAGAACTCAAAATGAGAAAAAAGATAGAATATTGGAAAAAATAAAGGAAGGAGAGAAGAAACTGAGGGTGAAACCAAAGTCGCAGGAGATTTTAAAAGAGATAAAGTTATATCAAGTACAATATACGAAAATGATGAATCAGGAAATAGAATGGAAGATTAAACAGATGAGACAAAAGACATTTGAATCGGCAAACAAGTGCGGGAAACTGTTGGCTTGGCAAATGAAAAAAAGACAAAAACTTAATACGATTACGAATTTAGAAGTGGAAGGAAAGAATATACAGAATCCAGTTGAAATTAGAAAGTGTTTCCAGAGGTATTTTTAAAAAACTATATACACAGGAGACACAGAAAGAAATGGACATTGATAAATTTTTTGGAAACTAATGGACTACAAAAAATTTCCCAGGAAAATAAGTTAATGCTGAATTATAAAATAACAGACAGGAAATAGAAGGGGCCATTCCAGAAATATGCAATTGGGCAAATCCCCAGGACCGGATGGATTGACAATCAAGATACACAGATCTCTGAAATGAATGGTTAATCAACCTTTAAAAGAAGTCTGTAATGAAATATTGGGAAGGGAAAAAGCGACCAGAGTCAGTGGAAATTTCATGCATATGTGGTGGGCCTGCGAAGATATTAAAAAATTCTGGGATACCATATACAACGAGTTAAAAAAAATGTTAAAATACACATTTTTAAAAAGACCAGAGGCTTTTCTATTAGGCATCATAGGAGAGGAGATTAAGAAAGAAGATGTAATTTTGTTCCAGTACTCAACAGCAGCGGCCAGACTGCTAATTGCTCAAAAATGGAAAAGCACGAGCACCCCAACGATGATGGAATGGCAAAATAAGCTATATGACTTCTTTGAATTGGCAAATATGACGCAGAAAATTAGAAACCAAAAGAATACAAAGTTAAAGAAGTCTGTAATGAAATATTGGAAGGGGAAAAAGGCACCAGAGTCGTGAAAGAAGCATATATTACACTTATACCGAAAACAGAGACTGAAGACACAGCTTAAGAACTACCGCCCCATATCATTGCTTAATGTGGATTATAAAATTTTTTGCAGACATTTTGGCTAGAAGATTAAAAAAGGTGTTAACAGAAGAAATTCATAAAGATCAAGCGGGTTTTCTCCCGGGCAGACACTTGTCTGACAATACGAGGAATATAATTAACATTTTAGAAAAATTACAAGTGAAGATTAATACTAAAGCAGTTTTGATATTTGTGGACGTGGAGAAAGCCTTTGACAACATTTCTTGGAGCTTTATGAAGAAGAATTTACAGGGGATGGGGGTTGGTCAAGGTTTTGGAAATGGTATAGGTGCAATCTATTCAGAACAGAAAGCTAAATTAATCGTGAATAACGTAGCTACGGAAGAATTTAAGATTGAGAAAGGAACACGACAAGGTTGCCCAATTTCTCCATTGCTTTTTATATCGGTACTGGAGGTTTTGCTAAATATGATTAGAAAGGACCAATTGGTAAAAGTGGGAGCCAAACAGTACAAACTGAAAGCATTTGCTGACGATTTGGTATTGACTTTACAGGAGCCAGAATCTAGTACTAAAAGAGTACTGGAACTGATCCAAGAATTTGGTCAGGTAGCAGGTTTTAAGTTGAACAAGATGAAAACTAAGGTTTCAGAGAAAAATCTAACTGAGATTGAGAGATACAGGTTTCAGAAGGAGACAGGATTAACATTGGCTAAGAAAGTGAAATATCTAGGGGTTAATATGACTGCTAAGAATGTGAATTTATTTAAGGATAATTACGAAAAATGTTGGAATGAAGTGAAAAAGGATTTAGAAATATGGTCACATTTGAAGTTATCGTTGCTAGGTCGAATTGCCGTGATAAAAATGAATGTATTGCCAAGAATGCTGTTTCTTTTTCAAACACTGCAAATTTTGGACAAAATGGATTGTTTCAAGAAGTGGCAGAGAGATATCTCTAGATTTGTCTGGCAGGGCAAGAAGCCTCGTATAAAATTTAAGATATTAACTGATGCTAAAGAAAGAGGTGGATTTGCCCTGCCAGACCTTAAAATTTATTATGAATCAGCCGCTTTTTGTTGGCTGAGAGAATGGATGCTTCTTGAAAACACTGACGTGTTGGATTTGGAAGGTTTTAACAATGTATTTGGTTGGCATGCATATCTGTGGTATGACAAGGTTAAAGCACATAGAGCGTTAGGAAAGCACTGTTTAATGTCTGGATAAGATACAAAGATTTGTTAGAAAATAAAACCCCGAGATGGCTGTCACCAAGGAAGCAAAGGCTCAGAAAAAACTCAATATGGAGGCCAAATGGCCGAAGTATTGGGAAATTCTCGAGCAAGAGGGAAATAGATTAAAACTGCAGAGTTTTGAAAAATTAAAAAATAGAGTGTGAGACTGGCTTCATTATTATCAAATAATGGAGGCATATAATTTGGACAAAAAATTAGGCTTCCAGGTGGAAAAATCAAAATTGGAAACAGAACTGTTAGATCCTAAAGTCAAGAATTTGTCAAGAATGTATAACTTGCTGTTGAAATGCAATACTCAAGATGAAACGGTGAAGTATGCTATGATTAAATGGGCACAAGATGTTGGACATAACATTATGATGGCTGACTGGGAACAGTTATGGACCACAGGTATGAAGTTTACGGCATGTAATGCCTTAAGAGAGAATATAATGAAAATGATCTATAGGTGGTACATAACACCAGTCAAGCTTGCAAAAATCTACCATTTGCCTGATAATAAATGTTGGAAATGTAAGGAGACTGAAGGTACATTCTTTCACCTTTGGTGGACATGCCCAAGGATTAAGAACTTCTGGGAGATGATCTATAATGAAATGAAAAAGGTATTTAAATATACCTTCCTGAAGAAACCAGAGGCCTTTCTCCTGGGCATGGTCGGCCAATTGGTGCTAAAGAAGGATAGAACTTTTTTTATGTATGCTACAACAGCAGCAAGAATACTCATCGCAAAGCACTGGAAGACACAAGATCTACCTACCCAGGAAGAATGGCAGATGAAGCTGATGGACTACATGGAACTGGCGGAAATGACTGGCAGAATCCGAGACCAGGGAGAAGAGTCAGTGGAAGAAGATTGGAAGAAATTTAAAGTATATTTACAGAAATATTGTAAAATTAATGAATGTTAGAAGGATGCTGGAATGAACTTACATGGTTTTAGCAGAAAGGTTATAAAGAATTAAGTAAAAATGGGTCAAAGTGTAAAATTTAAGGTCAAATTGCGTTAAGATAAAAGTATAGAACAAAATCTGAGAAAGAGGGAAAGGACTTGCTGAAACAGCTAATGGAATTAGAATACAAAAAAGGGAGGTGTGAGGAAGTCGAGGAAATAAGTAAATGAAAGATAAAGATATGAAAATACCGGATGTGTTTTTTTAAAAAATGTTTTTGTTTTTAAATGTTTTTGTTTTCTCTTTTTATTGCTTTGTTGTACTGTTTTTTATTGTATTTTCTTTTATTTTTGAAGTATTGTAACTTTTTATTGTTTGCTTTTCTTTTTTCTGTAATTGTTAAACTTTAATAAATATCATTTAATAAATAAATAAATACAGGGAACCAGGCAGAGGGCCTTCTCGGTAGTGGCGTCTGCCCTGTGGAACACCCTCCCATCAGATGTCAATGAAATGAACAACTATCTGACTATCAGAACACATCTGAAGGAGGCCCTGTTTAGGGAAGTTTTTAATGTCTGGTGTTTTATTGTATTTTTAATATTTTGATGGAAGCTGCTCAGACAATTCCCATTATCTGCTCTCGGCTTTACGGAACAGGCTGCAGTTCAGTGGCAGTGCAGGCAGAAGGTCCCAGGTTAAAAAGCATCTCCAAGTAGGATAAAGAGCGTCTCCTGCCTGAAACCATGCTAATCAGTGTAGACAATATAAAACTAAATGCACCCGTGGTCTGACTCAGTATAAGGCACCTCTTAGGCTCCTGTCAGCTTTGCAGCTCAGCATCCATCTTGGAGCCATAAATATGATCTTTCCATAGGCTCTGGTTATTAGTAGGCTTGATGGCGCATCTTGAAATGAAACTCAACCTGCACAGGAGCCAGGATGAAGGACAGAGAAGCTGCTGAATCCTCCTCCCATCTGATAATTTTGACACTGAATCAGCCCGTTCCCTGCCATGTCTCGTCCAAATGGGCTTCCACCTGATCTGCCAGCCAGGAGTAAAGTAGCATTCAGCATCCTGCTTCCACCTGCTCCTCTTTTAAAAACCTCTGGTTTTATAACTGTTCAGTACCTCTAATACACAAGCCCACCACCTTAACATCTAGTCACGACCTATCACACATGTCTTTGAACCTGTGGTTTTCTAGAGTAACTGTAGCCTGTAAGTTTACCCACACTGTGTGCTTTAAGCTTGTTGTGTATTTGTTATAATACAATTTTTCAAAGCACAAGTGCAGTACTGGTACACACTGCAGAAATCTCCTGAGTCACCTAGCTCCTGTGGCATCTATCAACATATCAGTCTGATATGCCACTTAACTCTTTACTTCCCTGCTGCTGCACCACCACATTTGAGTTCCCGCTGTGCTCTGGAGGCTTGAGGCTTGAGGCGGCTATTCCCAAAGCCTTCAGAGCACAGCGGGAACTCCTGCTGCGCTCCGAAGGCTTCGAGGATAGCCACCTAAAGCCTCCAGAGTGCAGCAGGAGTTACTGCTGTGCTCCGCAGGCTTCAGGCGGCTTCAGCGAAAGCAACACGAAGCCTCCAGAGCGCAGCAGGAGCGCTCCCTCTGCGCTTCGGAGGCTTCGCGTTGCTATCGCTGAAGCCAAGGAGCCTGCATTCACTCCATAAGACGCACACACATTTCCCCTTAATTTTTGAAGGGGGAAAAGTGCGTCTTATAGAGCGAAAAATACGGTAACTGAGTCTGTGAAACTCACAAGTGCATAGAATATGACAAAACCCAGGATCTAACTTCAAAATATATAAGATATGTATCGACTTAGGCAAGAAGAGGATCCACTGTATTTCTACTTCTAAAATTAACTCTCAATTTCGTACCTCTGAATTTCTTAGGAGGATTGCAAAGATCACCTGCCTCTGGTTGAACCACGCATCTGTCATCCACCAGCCTAGAAGAAAAAGCATAATGCATAGACTTCATTATTATTTTCAAATTACTGACATAAGTGAAGTCAACATATCCAAAGAATTTCCATTGAATTTTGATGCAAATCATGATACAATGCTGCAAAGAAAGAAGTATTCTCTCCAGGTCAACTTACTAATGCATGGTTCTGTCTAGAAACTTCAAGGCAAATAGTTTTACTCTTCATTGCAGAAGAAATTTTGGCAAGCTTAGAAATGTTTAATAGTTTTGTGCTTTTACTTGACTTTAAACAGACAATGCTAGATTGTGGAACAAGCCCTATATTGGGTACAATATACAGTAAGATAAACTGTAATCCTGTACACTGGCTATCTATTTTACCAGCCAAACAGACAAACATCAGTGTTTTATACAGCGCTTTTTTCAGGGGGCACTCAAGGGTACACAGTACCGGCACCTCTTTTTTAAAAAAAAAGTAAAAAAAAGTGTGGCACTTACAACATCATGGTGAGTATGGGTACCTATTTTTCTAGGGGGAAAAGCACTGGTTTTATATATACACATGGGGGCAGGTCGCCTGGCATGTATTAAGATCTCTTATAGCCCAAAGCAATTGCCAAGTTCAGCTTTGTTTAATGTCCACCATATCAGAAAGCATTCTTCATTGTCCACTGCTGGCATAGCCATATAGTCTGTGCGTTGTTTCTGCCCCAAAAGAAAGGTGTACACAACACAGTCGTCCCCCCTTTATTCTGAAGCAACTTGCAAGCCAAGAATTGGGGGGGGGGTCCCTCCCACTTGTGGCAGCTTGGTGCAAGCAACTTGATAGAGAGAGGGAGAGGGAGAGAGGCAGCAATAAAAGAAGTTCCTTGGAAGGGTCGTGCTACAGAGAGAGAAGCTCATCACTGGAACAAAGAAGCAAGTAATTTGGAAGGGAAAGGGTTAACACAGGCGGGGAGGCAGGGGAGACTGTAGGAATGGTTTCTGAAAGATCTGTTTCTCAAAAAGGCAGTGGTTTTTGCTCAGCCCTTTTTAGCTATTTGTATTGATAACACTTTCTCAATGAGGCAGTGTGAGGTGATTTTTGCAGCAGCCTGTTCTACTTGTAGTGATAATCTGTTCCCAAAGAGGCAGTGATTTTAGAGGAGCAATTTTTTGCTCAGCCTGTTGTAGCTACTTGTCGTGGTAGCAGGGGAAAGCAAACCATTCTCAAATATTTTGCAGCAGCCTGCTGGCAGAGAAGAGCTGAGTGAGGCAGCGTTAGCAAGGGCTGCACACACAGGAGGAAGTGTTGGCTTCCCAGTTCTTCCAACATTGTGCTTTTTAAACACCACGTACACGATTTGTGATATATTGCAAGGTCATTTTTTTAAAAAAAACAGTCATCACAATTTTATTTAAAATTTGGTATCAGACAATATATCAATTTATAGCACAGCCCTACACCCCACAATCCCTTCTGATGTCCACCAAAGATGCAGCTGGGGTGGCTGGGATGTAGTTAATGGATGAGACCCCCTCGTCCCATCTCAATAAATGACTTCCCCAGAGGTAGAGTCAATTGTTGCCTGGGAGTGGGCCCCAGCCAACAGATTGTTTGGGCAGGTTCCGAGGGGTGGGGGATAGCACTGGGACACCCAATCTCAGTGATCATGGGTAGGAGGATGAGTTATGCTAAGACCAGACCGCTCATTACCGAGGAGGCAGGTTTAGTTGTTGTTTGGAGACTGTCTCTGCTTCGGGGTCTGGTCTTGACCGGATGGATACTGGAATCAACAAGGGAGACCCACATGACCTGAAGGTGCTGCTGTGCAATGCCAGGTCAATGGTGATGATGATTATGATGATTTAAAAAACATCTGAAGGCAGCCCTGTTCAGGGAAGTTTTTAATATTTAACACTGTACTGTTTTTAACACTTGATTGGGAGCCGCCCAGAGTGGCTGGGGAAACTCAGCCAGATGGGCGGGTATAAATAATAAACTATTAATTGTTGTTGTTGTTGTTGTTGTTGTTCATAAGACCACTGCTATCCAGAACTTGATTGTGGATGGGGGACTTGACCTGGCATGTGTAACAGAGACTTGGTTGGATGAAGCAGGTGGGCCTGTTCTTGCTGCTGCTTGTCTACCAGGTTTCTCTAACAGCAACCCTGGTCATATGGGCGGGGGGGGGGGGGGTTGCAGTGATTTTTAGGAAGTCATTAGCTTGCACCAGGTGTCCTATTGGGAAGACCCAGTTTTATGAGTGCATGTTTTGGAAGCTGGGCAATAGGGGCAGTACAGGATTCCTTTTGGTGTACCGACCTCCCCACTACACCAAGGATTCCCTGCCTGAGCTGCTTCAGGTCGTGGCAGATGTTCTCCTGGAGATACCTAGTTTGGTTGTCCTAGGGCAGGGGTCGGCAACGTGTGAGCTATGGGCCGGATGTGGCCCACGAAGACTGTTTTACCAGCCCACGAGCCACCCCCGAACCGAGCCACCCACTTGGCGAGTCCACCTCGTGCTGCGCTAAACCAGTGTGGCGCAGGGACCCGCAGAGCGGTGCCGGAAATCACGTCTGTGCATGCACAGATACCAGAAATTGCATCTGCACATGGTCAGATACCGAAAATCGCTTCTGTGCAGGTTCCATTTTCGGCATCGCGCTGCGCCAGTCTGGCCCACAGACAATCTCCATGGGAGTGATCTGGCCCATGGCTGGTAAACCTTGCCAACCCGTCCTAGGGGATTTTAACATCCGTGTCGGCACGACCTTACAAGGGGCCGCTCGGGACTTCTTGGAAAGCATGGCTTCCATGGGGCTGTCGCTGAATAAGTTTGGCCCAACTCATAGTTGTGGACATGCCTTGGACCTGGTGTTTACCTCTATAGATGTGGGTGATCTGACACTAAGTAAAAGTGAAACAAAAAAAGTGCCATGGTTAGATCACTTCCTGGTGCAACTGGACTTTTCTCCAACCCTTCCCCTCTGCAGGGAGGTGGGACCAATTCGGATGGTCCACCCCCACCACTTAATGGATCCAAATGGTTTCCAAAGAGTGGTAGGGGATGTTTTATCCCATGTTGATGGCCTTTCAGCTGATTCCCTGGTGGCCTGCTGGAATGCAGTTAACCAGGGCTATCGACTGTCTGGCTCCAAAGCTCTGATTGTATGGAACCCAGACAGCCTCGTGGTTTTCCCCAGAGCTGAGGGCGATGAAACGATCCTTGAGACGGCTAGAGTGCCGGTGGTGGAAAACACTCTGAATCAGACCAGACACAGGTTAGAGTCAAGCCTACCAAGTGGCGATAGCAATGGCAAGAGGACCTTCTTCACCGCCTCTACTGAATCTGCAGAAAATAGCAGCAGGAGACTCTTTCAGGTGGTTCACAATTTAAAGGAACCACCTTTGCCACCAGGGAGTGGTAAAGACCCCAAGATCTCCTGCAATGATTTTGCAAAGTTTTTACAGACAAAGTTGCTCAGATTTGGAAAGAAGTAGACTCCACCGTGGGAGCAGGGCCGGGGCAGGAGAGTGCTGGAGTCCTGTCTAGTTGCATGGGATCAGTTCCAATCTGTTACCTCCGAGGATGTGGACAGGCTGCTTGGACGAGTGAAACCGACCACCTGTATCCTTGATCCTTGCTCATAAAAGCGAGCCAGGAAGGGCTGGGTGATGGGCTCTGCAGGGTGGTGAATGCTTCCCTCTGTGAGGGAACCTTCCCAAACCCAATGAAAGAGGCAGTTATTAAACCACTCCTTAAAAAAACATCTCTTGACCTGGCCGATATGGCCAACTATCGCCCAGTCTCAAATCTTCCATTCTTGGGCAAGATGACTGAGCAGGTGGTTGCTGAACAACTCCATGCCTAGAGGATGCGGACCATTTGGATCCCTTCCAATCAGGATTCAGGCCTCATCATCATGGGACTAAAACTGCCTTGGTCACGCAGGTCGATGATCTCTGGCAGGCTAGGGACAAAGGGTGAAAGCTGTTTCCTAGTTCTGCTGGATCTCAGCGGCCTTTGATATCATCAACCATAACATCCTTCTGGACCGTCTAAAGGAGCTGGGGGCACTGTTATACAGTGGTTCCCTTCCTTCCTCCTGCACCATGTCCAGAAAGTGGTGTTGGGGGATGAGTTTTCAGACCCCTGGGCTCTCACTTGTGGGGTGCCTCTATATGAGGCCACTGGGAGAGATCATCAGGGCTGGGTGTTCTTCAGTGTTCATGCGGATGATACCCAGCTCTACCTCTCTTCTAAATCGGAACCAGTGAAGGTGGTGAATGTCCTGTGTGAGTGGCTGGAGGTGGTTGGAGGATGGATGACAGCTAACAGATTGAGGTTAAATCCTAACAAGACAGAAGTACTGATTTGGAGGGAGAGGGGGCGGGCAGCTGTGGAGGACTCCCTGGTCCTGAATGGGGTAACTGTGCCCCTGAAGGACCAGGTGTGCAGCCTGGGAGTCATTTTGGACTCACAGCTGTCCATGGAGGAGCAGGTCAATTCTGTGTCCAGGGCATCTGTCTGCCACCTCCATCTGGTACGCAGGCTGAGACCCTACCTGCCCGCAAACTGTCTCGCTAGAGTGGTGCATGCTCTGGTTATCTCCTGCTCAGACTACTGCAATGCACTCTACGTGGGGCTACCTTTGAAGGTGACCCAGAAACTACAACTAATTTAGAATGCGGCAGCTAGACTGGTGACTGGGAGCGGCCGCCAAGACTACATAACACCAGTCCTGAAACACGTACATTGACTCCCAGTACGTTTCTGAGCACAATTCAAAGTGTTGGTGCTGACCTTTAAAGCCCTAAATGGCATCAGCCCAGTATACCTGAAGGAGCGTCTCCACCCCCATCGTTCTGCCCGGACACTGAGGACAATGAACTCTGCATTTCAGCTGTTATCTAACAAGAGTTGTAAATATAACAACAGTCACTCTACAACATCTAGCAATTCTCAAAAGGGAAGTTAAAGTAACAATAAGAATAAACAGTTAACATGAAGTCAGTTGTCATGAGAAACTATTTGCATGTTAAGAAAGGGAAAATTTAGTAAACGGTGGAGACATTCATGCAGCGAGATCTATTCGTTTATAGAAACACTCCCAAAGGAAGTTACATGAATCCTTTCATCTATGACTTTTATAAGCACATTGGAGAAAGCATAATTAAGGTAGATTCACTACCAGTGAACAACTCTCTGAAAGCCTGAACACTTGAACAATCAACAAAACTTTTCCACTTCCTAGCAAGCATAATGTCATTTTGGCAAATCTCTCTGAAATTTAAACCGGCAATTTATAACCTGCAGCTTGTAAATGAGTAGTGCTCTGGGGTGTCCTAATCGTTCCCTAGAGAAACACCCCTAGTTTCCGCATGAATAGGTTATTGTATTTTAGTGTTCTGTTGGAAGCCACCCAGAGTGGCTGGGGAAACCCAGCCAGATGGGTGGGGTATAAATTATTATTATTATTATTATTATTATTATTATTATTATTATTATTGACACTCTCCCCTTATTACTCTAGGTCACAGACAGATTACAGAACTACTACATGGGGTTCATGTTCTGAGGACTTTTCCAGGGGGTGAGGTTTTCCCATGGAGTGGGCAGTGCTTAGTAAACAATCCAGATAGCATTCTTCTAGCACAGGGGTCCTCAATCTAGCCCGCTAATTGCCAGAACCTGCCACTGTCTACAATATCCTGAAAAGTGAGGAGCGGCGGCAGTGGTGGCGGCGGCTAGTTCCAGCAGGCATGCGGCAGGTCCCAGCTGCTCCTACAAATTGCAGAAGCACGTGGCTCTGCAGAGTCCGCAGGTGGCGTGCAAGTTGGCTTCGGCAGTGATGGCGAAGACGCTGCACTTTGTCAAGATTCAGAACGTGCCTTGCTTCCACGAGCTGCCCTGAACGAGCAGCTGGTGCTGGTGTGCAGCTGCTGGGCTCCGCTGCTCGTGCTGGGGCTGGCCCAGGACCACGTGCACTTCGAGACGGTGGAGACCACAGAGCCCAGCATGCTGCACAGGATTTATTTTTGACAGACAAGTGGGCCGAAGAGGAGAGGCAGCAGCACCACCACCACCAAGTTGTGCTGCTGCACAAGACCCAGGAGAAGCTGGAGGCAGGGACCTGCAGCAACAGTAGCAGCAGCCTCAAGGGAACCATGCTCTTCAATCTGGGTAAGCGTGGGAAACTCGGGCTGGGCGGGAAAGAAGCGCGCGGATCTGCAGTGTGGGGAGTTGGGGCGACAAAGGGGCCATGGCTAGCACCCCCACCCCATGTTGATTAAAATCGTTCTTCATTTTAAATATTGTATTTTCCCCTGTTTTTTATGCACTACAAATAAAATATGTGCAGTGTGCACAGGAATTTGTTCATATTTTTTTCAAACTACAGTGGTGCCCCGCAAGACGAATGCCTCGCAAGACGGAAAACCCGCTAGACGAAAGGCTTTTCCGTCGCGGAGGCGCTTCGCAAGACGAAGTTCCCTATGGGCTTGCTTCGCAAGACGAAAACGTCTTGCGAGTCTCGCCATTCCCCCCCCCCCGCTTTCCCCCCCTTTTTCAAAGCGGCTGAGCTGTTAATAGCCTTTTAACAGCTTAGCCGCTAAGCCGCTAATAGCGCTAAATCGCTAATAGCGCTAATCCGCTTAGCCGCTAATGGGGTTGCTTCGCAAGACGAAAAAACCGCTGGAAGAAAAGAATCACGGAACGGATTCTTTTCGTCTTGCGAGGCACCACTGTATAATCCGGTCCCCAACAGTATCTGAGGGACAGTGAACCAGCCCCCTGTTTAAAAAGTTTGAGGACCCCTGCTCTAGCATACAGTGGTACCTCGCAAGACGAATGCCTCGCAAGACAAAAAAACTCGCTAGATGAAAGGGTTTTTTGTTTTTTGAGCTGCTTCGCAAGACGATTTTCCCTATGGGCTTGCTTCGCAAGACGGAAATGTCTTGCAAGTTTGTTTCCTTTTTCTTAACACCGTTAATACAGTTGCGACTTGACTTCGAGGAGCAACTCATAGAACGCGGTGTGGTAGCCTTTTTTGAGGTTTTTAAAGACTTTGGTGATTTTTGAAGCTTTTCCAAAACTTTCCCGACACCGTGCTTCGCAAGACAAAAAAAATCGCAAGAAGACAAAACTCGCGGAACGAATTAATTTCGTCTTGCGAGGCACCACTGTACGTGCTGAAGGGGAAATGGAAGTTGCCAGAAATCAAAACTACATTTTGGAATTAGCGAGAAAATTTTCACCCATTTACATCCTCGAGAAAACACCTCCCACAGGAACCTGCTTCTGCACTGCTTTTCACAACTGAGGTTCTGCTTTATGTTCTGCCATTTTCAGAGATGCACTTGGTGGAAAGTGGGTCTTTGCAAGGGGAAGGTTTCAATCTGCAGATGGGTGAAAGTACCTTTAAAAAAACTTTATTGAGAAGACTGTGTTGCAAGTTTCAACCCAACCCAATTTGCTGGCTGCATATTATTGCAGACTCTCTAGGGGGTCTTCCTCTTCCTCTTCTCTGTTCCCAATTAACTTCCATCTCCAGGACTCATAGGTTGGAGGAAGTGCAGAGGAAGAAAAAGTACTGCGCTGGGCTCAAGTGGAAGTTATGCATGAACATGAGTACCTGGTGCGAGATGTAAGGAGATGCAAAAGTGAGCAGAGCACATGAATTTGATTTGAACTGATTTTATAATGAATTGATTTTAGAATGCTGTATTATTTTACTGTTGCTAGCCACTCTGAACCTGGCTTCAGCTGGGGAGGGCAAGATATAAATAAAATTATTATTATTATTATTATTATTATTATTATTATTATTATTATGAGCAGCAGCAAGAGCTAAGCCTTGCTATCTCTGCTTCCCGTAGCAAAACCTGGATGGCCATATTTTATTCTTGAGCGAGTCCGAAGAGGTGAAAACAAAAATTGACCAAGGAAGAATGGAGTGCTGAGAGGCAAGGTATGATATGGTGCTGACCAATACTAAACTACCAACTGCCCACTAAGTGGACCCATACAAAGGAGTGAGTATTCAGGGATAATGTCAGCTCAAAAGTGTGTTGTGGGGATTGGGCTGTGTAATAGCTGATGGGAGCAGAAAGCCCAAACAGCTTCCAGCTGACATCGGGTACTGGTTCTTCATCTCTCTGGCCTAAAAAGCAAAGCCATGAACGGCTGGCAGTGGAACAAGTAAGTTGTCACTAGGCCAAACTCTTAACATGAACGTTTTCAGTGTTTCTTAAGGAATTAGTACCCAGTACAAGTCTTGCAAAGGGACCTGGAATGCAGAAACAGGATGGAAAACAAGAGCTAGAAGGTAATGTGCTGGGAAAGCTTTGTATTTCAGTTAGTTTATTATAAGGTTTCCTTTCATTGTGTTCAGAGAAAATCCTCATTTCCCCCATTTCATTCACTGCTTAAACCTCACAGAAAGCCAGCCAATGCTATGGGTTCACTTAGGCAAAGAGGAGGCAACACTGTGGGAAGCCTATTCCCAAAGAGAAGCAGAATTTGTTTGGGTTTATACTGAGACCCAAATGCCCCTTCCAGAACCTTCTTATTCCCCAGCCCATTCATCATGGAAAGCACAACACAGCTGGCATCCAAGGTAGGTCATGGTTGCTGTCATTTCTCTCCCCCCCCCCACCCAACACACACACATACCACACCACAGCAACCACCTCTTTTGCTCGTCTGTCCCCACAAAGAGTGCCTTTTTCCTCCATCTTCCTCCTGCCTGCTGCATCCTCCCTACTGTTCTCACTTCTGCTCCCACCATCGTCTCCAATCTGGGGCCATTCTCGCCCATCAATGGCATATTTAAAAAATGGTCAAACTTAAGGCATCAAGGTGGCAGCTGAGAGTACTTGTGCCACTGCCATTGTTTTGGTGGTTTCGTTCTTGTGGTTTGCTTTATATTCTGTGGTTTATATTATACAGTAGAACCTCAGCTTACGGTTACCCTCAGGTAATGTAAACTTCGGGTTGTGAAAGCAGCAAACCCGGAAGTATTTTTCTGGGTTTCGCTGCTCGTGCATGCACAGAACAGGCACCTCTGGTTGCTGAAACCTCAGGATCCAGCTGGAGCTCTGGAACAGATCCCATCCACAACCAGAGGTACCACTGTAGTGATTGCAATATGTGTGTTTTAATGCTATTGTGATTATTGTGAGCTGTTTTGAGCTCAGCATTTGCTGTTAGAAAAGCGGAATACAAATACTGTATTTAATCAACTCAATGCAACTCCCACCATTTACCTTCAAGCCAGGAAAGGCTTCCCATCTTACATTAATGTGTCAGGCTGATGTTAAAAGCATGTTCTTTTAAAATGCAAATTTTCCATCAGCTCCATGCAGGGCTGTTTTCAGCCAGAACTCACTGGAACTCAGTTTTGGCCCCTCTCAGGTGGGCACCATTGCCATTATAAGAAAACAAGGGAGACATTTATGGTGAGTTCCAGCACTTCTTTTTCTAGAAAAATAGCACTGACTCCATGTATGGAATAAGTTTAATGGAGCAGGATTATCCATATATTGTTAGGCATGTTTCAGTAACAGCTACTGATAGGAACCGCGGAAAATTGGAGATGCCATGTTGGTTAAGATTTGTTTGAGTCTAAAGGTGATGGGCTGAGAAGGAAGGGTGTGATTTGAGGAGGAAAGGGAGGGGCCAAAGGGACCAGGGACCGAGTCCTGTGCCCAAGTGCCCCCAGAAAACTGGAAACAGCCCAGGCATTATCTAGCTATGAATTAGCATAATGACTTCCAGTTAGCATATAGGGGAAAGCTGTAAATAAAACTTATTGCAAAAATCAGTAAATTGCCTCAGGTTACAACCGCTGTGGGGGACGCGGGTGGCGCTGTGGGTAAAAGCCTCAGCACCTAGGGCTTGCCGATCGAAAGGTCAGCGGTTCGAATCCCCGCGGCGGGGTGCGCTCCCGTCGTTCGGACCCAGCGCCTGCCAACCTAGCAGTTCGAAAGCACCTCCGGGTGCAAGTAGATAAATAGGGACTGCTTACTGGCGGGAAGGTAAACAGCGTTTCCGTGTGCGGCTCTGGCTCGCCAGAGCAGCGATGTCACGCTGGCCACGTGACCCGGAAGTGTCTCCGGACAGCGCTGGCCCCCGGCCTCTTGAGTGAGATGGGCGCACAACCCCAGAGTCTGTCAAGACTAGCCCGTACGGGCAGGGGTACCTTTACCTTTACCTTACAACCGCTGTAATGTCATGTGGTAGCAGAAATGCTCCTGGCACTGCTGATGTACCTATAACTAATGTCAAATATTAGGTCCATGGGCAAGCCCCAGGGCTGTTCTCGTTCCTACAGGGTGTACTCCTACTTGAGCTCAACTCCTACTGGGGCTGTGACACTACTTTGAAGTGCCAGCCTGCCACCTTGAGAGCACCACAATCCCCCTCTTGTTCATGCACTCAAAAAACAACAACCCAAGTCATGCTGAGCGATTTATTCCATGCAGCTAAAGCCACCCCGCCCCATGCTGCCTGCTGAAAACACCTCTCCAAGTTTTATTGCATAATAGCAATACCCTAAAGCAGGGGTCTGCAACCTTTAAGACAAAAAGAGCCACTTGGACCCGTTTCCGAGGAAAAAAACCTGGGAGCCGCAAAACCATTGCGACATTTAAAACAAATATATCTCCGGAGCCGCGATCTGACAGCGGGCGGGAAGGTGACGGGACGGTGCGTGACTAACGCATGCACCGCCCCCATGTGACGTCACAGCCAGTACAGTGCCCACCACAGTGGGGAGTGTCGGGGCGCACAATGCGCCTCCTCCCCTCGCTAGTATCCGCCCCAGAGCCACGGCAAAGGTGTAAAAGAGCCACATGCGGCTCCGGAGCCGTGGGTTGCAGACCCCTGCCCTAAAGCAACTCAGCTATCTTCTGTGACATACCATACTTTTCTGTCTATAAGGCGCCCCCATGTATAAGACAACACCCACTTCTTAGCATGATTTTTAAAGGAAAAAAATAGTCTTATACATGGAAAAGTACGGTAGTTCTTATTACGCAAACACTTTCTTTTGCCAGAGGAAGAAATGCATTGTTTTGCATTGGTTTTCTTATGCTACCATGAAAACCAGGAACTTGGTTGCTATGTGAGCCTTAATCGAGAGCTGTGCCCCACTAGGCAGCAGTGATATGGCATGGAAAAATTTCCACTTTTAGAAAGACATTGTTTCATGACATTAATTACGAACATTATTAATGACTACAATACAAGTCAAACAGAGCAACTGAAATTATTACACTTGGCTAAACCATAGTGTCAGAGACTGCCTCCAGGTCCCAGCTCACAGAGGACCAACGCTAGCCAGCGGTAATATACAAAAGTCTTTATTTAAGTACATTATCCATTTTCCAACCCTAGCGTGCGTCTCTACGTCTAGACACTAGACCGGCGAAGCTCCGTCTGAATCTCCGCCCCCTGTACACCAGCTTAAGACTCTAGCCTTACTCCACCTCTTCCGTCTCTCCTTCCGCCTCTGGGTCCTACTACCCCCCGGGATCCCTTCCTTCCTGGACGCTTCGGACGCGGACCCCTCTGACTCTTCCCCCTCCCTTCGGCGGGCTTTAGGACCTGGCTCCCTTTCCGGGCTGCTCACTGCGCCACTCTCTTGTAGGTTTGAACTTGGCGCGCGCGCCCTGTCTTTGACCTTCCTTTTGACCGTTTCTTCGCTCTCTGATGCAGGCGTGGCCAATCCTGACTCGTGTCCTTCTGCTGACGGAGAGCTGCCTGATGCCGATACCTGGGACTCCTCCCCCCTACTGCTCTTTGGTGGGGAAGCTGGTCCCGATTTCCAACTGCTGCTCTCTGAGTCCCCTCTGGCCCCTCCTTCCTGGGGTGTTCCCCTTGGCAACCCCCTTGCTCTGACCACGGGAGCCCCTTTCTGTGAATCCTCCGATTCGCTGGAGAGACTCAGAGACCTCGGACGGCTGTCATCGCTGACATCTCCCTCGGATTCCTCCCCCTCGGTCTCTATCTCCTCCCTTTCCTGTGCCTCTGCTCCTGAACCCCTGACACATAGTTTAGCATTAGAAGACAAGGCAAAGTGGGACTTGTAGGGTCCCTTGTCCTCTGATACAGCCACAAGGAGAAGTTCATTTTGCTTCCATTTTAGGTTAATCACAGATTTCTTAACATCAAGTCCTGACAAACTGGTTAATCTTTGCTAGTTGAAAATAAATCAACCTACAACCATATTTAAGAAACTATAATATTTCAACCAGCCATGAATAAAATTAACCACAATTTAGGGTTCAGGCACAATCCCAAATTTGGTGGTCTAAAATGGAGACAGAAGCTTCTGATCGCCTCATGGCTATGCTAGAGAAGAAGAGAGGGTAACATGTGCAAGTCCAAGGTTCACAAAAGATTGTCCCTGCAAAACTAACCCATGGTATAGCTCTGCTTGCAAATCAGGCCATCGCTATTCAAATCTAAAATAAATAACTGAACTATTTCCCAGGTGATGATCCCAAAGAAGCACATAATATATGAACAACTCTTCAAGCATGCTAAAATTAGTATGAGGAGCCTTTTCGGTGTTTTCATTTTCTTCTTAAAATCTAAATAAAGTAAGGGAAGTGTATGCTATTGAGTGGTTGTGTCTTAAAATATTCACAAGTATTCCAGCAAAAATAAATTTCAAGCAAAGCTTTGAATTTGTTTGAATATGACACTTAACTACACAGGCAGTACAATCTTAAACCCCAGATCTGCAGGCTTGGTCGGGAAAGAGGAGTCCCATCAGTGGGGCACAGAGTCGCATTGCTGAGACTCTCCACTACTGGTGAAAACTGTTCTATGGGTGTAGATCTGCCCCCAGAGATGCTTCCACTGGCAGAAGCTGGCTTTAGGACACAAAATGGGACATTCTGCTGGCAAGGCTTCCAAGAATCAGCAGGATCCAAAGTATTCCCCTCCCAATGGCTCAAATATTGAATTGATGGACTTCCTGTTTCCGGCAGTGGGAAATGGCGGACTCCCACACGATCGGACTCCAGCCGTTTCCATAATTCAGGGCTGATATGGGGGTAATTAGCCCTGGCAGCCTCCCCAGGGCAGTGGAGGACTGTCTCGATGACCCGCGGTTTGCCCCACGGCAGGGGCACTGGGTCACGGCGCAAGGGACGGACTGACTCTCCTGCAATGCCACCCCATAGCTGGACACATCTGTTTGGGAAAATATAAAGATTTGAAAAAACAGACAGACATGCTCTGAACTGACGAAGCTGGGGGGAAACCTGCTGTAAACCTGGTGTAAAAGATTGAACTTCAAAGAGATCCTCACTCCCCACCTCCACTCCATTTAGGCCTGTGCTGGATTTGATCTGTATTTACTTTCTACACAAACTAATATTTTCCACATATTTCCACTCAACAGCATTTTCCTATTGGAAAAACTTTTCAGAGTTTCTGCACAGCAAGTAGAATTAATATGACGTACGTGCTTTGTTTTGTTGCCTAAATGTAAATCAAATAAACACACTGAATCAATAGCCATTAATTTTGGGCAGCGGGAAATAATTGTGGAAAATGTTTCAAAAATTTCCAGGAAACCCACATCATTACCACTCAGCTGCGTTTCCAATCCTCCTGCCCCTGTCTCTGATCCGGGTGCCTTTTAAAGAGCAACCTGATATGGAGAAATAAATCAGGTGACTTTTTCTTGGCATGGAGATACAGTGGTACTCGGGTTACAGACACTTCAGGTTACAGACTCTGCTAACCCAGAAATAATACCTTGGGTTAAGAACTTTGCTTCAGGAAGAGAACAGAAATCGCATAGTGGCAGCGGGAGGCCTCAACTAGCTAAAGTGGTACCTCAGGTTAAGAACAGTTTCTGGTTAAGAGCGGACCTCCAGAACGAATTAAGTTCTTAACCTGAGGTACCACTGTACACCACAATTCTGGTACCCCTTGGCCACTGCTGCTGGAGGTGGTCAAGCTAAAGGAGAGGTCGCTTGGCTGGGTAACGGAGGCCTCCACTGCAACCAAGAAAAGCAAGGGTGACTGAAAAGTTACCTCCAACAGTGTTCTGGCTGGCAATGGCTAGTGAAGGGCCCCAAAACAGCGGAACATAGGGGTGGGCAGAGCTGGCTGGCCGTGGTTCTTCTGGATCTGGTCATTTTACCAGATAGGAACCCAATCCAGGCCCCTTAGCTACCCCAGATGACTGTGATGGACAGCAGACTCAGAACAGAGTCTGGTGATGTAGTACCTCAGAACTCCACCAGAGAGCTAGTGGCGGGGGGGGGGGGGAGTGGAGCCAGTACTTTGGAAGGTAAAATAAAAGGAGCAGTTTCTGAGAGAGTGTTCAGACAGGGAGATGGTTAAGTAGTGGGGTGGGAGAGCTGAAAATAATGCCAATACATTTCACATCTGGCAACCAATGCTCTAGCTCCGTTTGAGCAGAAATTTGATATGCTTTCTAACCAAATATCAGTTATTTCTAAAACAGCAAATAATGCACACAATCTTGCTCTAACGAACCAGTCTGAGATCCAGCTCTTACAAATGACTGAAGATTTTTAGTTATGAAGCTGGAGGAACAATCAGACGGGAAAGGTGGGGGGGGGGAATCATCTAAGAAGCCTACTAGAGATCCAGGAAGTGGGGATGTGGTTCAGTTCATTATTGACTGGATACTCTCCCTGAATTTAAACATACCACTGTCCCCCAATGACACAGAAAGAGCTGACCGGGTTCCAAGAGGCGAAAGCAGAACGGGGGAAACCCTGAGAGATCTAGGAATTCACTTTGAACATTATAGGCTCATTCATTTTTCAAAGCACTACTGAAGCTTAGAAACCTAAGATACAGCAAAGCCACCATTGAAATATTCCAGGGCATCAGCCAAGCCACACTGGGATGGCGGAGGGCTCTTCGACCTGATACATCAGCTCTAAAAGAAGCAGACATAGTCCAGCACAAACCAGAACCTGGGTGATAACTAGCAGGCTGACAACATTCTCAAAGAGCTCCAGCTCCAAGACTCTCCTCAACGCCTCTCCCCAGTTCAAGCACACAAGAGTACCCTTTCAGCCTGGACAACCAAAAAAGGCATAAAGAAATAAGACAACTCTGAACAGAAGAAAGAAATTGTTTTGCTTCCTTATGCATGAAAAGGATCTGGACTCCACTCTAACAAGCATAACATAATAATTACAACTGCATATCAATACTTATCCAAATTGTTATCCTAAATTATCTAAAGTGCCGTATTTTTCGCTCTATAAGACGCACCAGACCATAAGACGCACCTAGTTTTTGGAGGAGGAAAACAAGAAAAAAAATATTCTGAATCTCAGAAGCCAGAACAGCAAGAGGGATCGCTGCGCAGCGAAAGCAGCAACCCCTCTTGCTGTTCTGGCTTCTGGGATAGCTGCACAGCCTGCATTCGCTCCATAAGACGCACACACATTTCCCCTTACTTTATAGGAGGGGGAAAGTGAGTCTTATAGAGCAAAAAATACGGTAACTTTCTGTTACTTTACAAGTGTGGTTAAAATCCTGAAAATGTGTTAACCTGCTTGCAGTGGTTTCATAAATAAATTATAAATTTTCCCCATTCTTTTTTAAGGTTCTTGTCTTCTTGATTTCTGAGCTTCCCAGTTAATTTTGCCATTTTGGCATAGTCCATCATCTTGATTTGCCATTCTTCTCTGGTCAGGATTGTCTCTTCTTTCCATCTCTGGGCTAGTAGTATCCGTGCAGCTGTTGTCACATACATAAACAAACTTTTCTGGTCTTTTGGAATCTTGGTACCTATAACTCCTAATAAGAAAGCTTTTGGTTTATTAACAAAAATTATTTTAAACATTTTTTTCATTTCATTATATATCATCTCCCAGAATTTTTTTATTACACGTCCACCAAAACTGATAAAAGGTACCTTCTTTTTCTTTACATTTCCAGCATATTTGTGCTCGTTCTATACATTTTTGCTAAGTTAACAGAGGTCAAATACCACCAGTACATCATTTTCATATAGTTTTCTTTCAATGAACAACATGCCGTAAATTTCAAATCTGTTTTCCATAGCCTCTCCCAGTCTATCATTTGTATATTATGTCCCAAGTATTTCGCCCAGTGTATCATCACTGATTTAACCAGTTCATCTTTTGTATGCCATTCCAGGAGCAAATTATACATTTTCAACAATAATTTTGTATTATTTTCTAAGACATCTTTCTGAAATCTTGATAACTCATAACTAAAACCTTTCTGTCTTAGAAATATCATTTAATTGATGAAACTGTGACCAATTTGTTACCAGTTCTCTTATCTTTAAAGTCTTTTAATTTTACCTGATTTTCTACTTCGGTTAACAGCTCTCTATATGTCCACCATTTAGCCCTCATATTCACTTTTTTCAAAGATATTGCTTCTAATGGGGAAAGCCACTACAGTGGTACCTCAGGTTACATACGCTTCAGGTTACATACTCCGCTAACCCAGAAATAGTGCTTCAGGTTAAGAAATTTGCTTCAGGTTGAGAACAGAAATCGTGCTCTAGCGGCGCGGCAGCAGCAGGAGGACCCATTAGCTAAAGTGGTGCTTCAGGTTAAGAACAGTTTCAGGTTAAGTACAGACCTCCAGAACGAATTAAGTACTTAACCCGAGGTACCACTGTAAATCAATGTCATGCATAGACCTAATATTAATACCAAATTCATCAGGTGGTGAATGCAGAAATTGGGTCTATAACAGTCTCTAATCATGCATTAGTCTCTGTTAACTTAAACTTTGGTGCACATCCCCCCAGGAACCAGAAATGATACTTTGCAGTGTGTAAAGAATGCTTAGCTAAATCTATGGATCTTTACTTTAAAGCAGGGGTCCTCAAACTAAGGTCCGCAGGCTGGATCCAGCCCACCAGAGTCCCCAATCCGGCCCGCCAATTGCCAGAACCCGCCACTGTCTACAATATTCTGAAAAGCAAGGAGCGGCGGTGGCAGTGGTGTCTGTGGCAGTGGCGGCCACTCACTCCCATGCTGCTCCTCACTTTTCAGGATATTGTAGATCATGTTTACTTTTGCAAAACATTTATTTAGAATAAGGGCACACCTACACCACACATCTAAACTTATTTAATGAACAGGTAGACCCTAGTGAACAGTGAGAACTGCAGATCTATAAACTGTTGTAAATGACTGTAAAACTGGTGTAAAACAGTAATCACCATAAATGATTATGGTGTAGAAATCCCATGAAAGGCAGAACGGCTGCAGAACTGTTTGTGCATGTCTTCTTTAGAGTAGATTTCTCAGTTTGGCTGAATTTTTTCACAAGTTTATACTGTTTAAATCCATTAAAACCCACGTGGTTTAAGGAGCGTAACTGTCCAGAGAATAAAAGCCACTACTATGTGTTTTATTACAGATAAATTGGAATTTCAAAAGCAAACCACATACCAAACTGGATGGAGCTGCTTTGTTCCAGAGTACATCAACAAACCTTTCATGATTCAGACAATCCATGAGACACATCTACTGACTGCCTCATGAGCGTGTATGTTTGCTTTGGATTTAATACACATCATGGAAACTATTATAAAGCTTTCCATTGGCTTTCAGAGAGAATTACAGTAGGACACAAACAATGTAAATGCCGTTCCTCTTTTCGGGAGTCTCTGGTAAAAAAAAAATGCTGTCAGAATTTGGGAGAGATAAGTAATGTCTTCTCAAAACAAATAAAAGTGTTCACCAACAAAATTAATTCTCTAGAAGCACAGTGGTACCTTGGGTTACATACGCTTCAGGTTACATATGCTTCAGGTTACAGACTCCGCTAACCCAGAAATAGTGCTTCAGGTTAAGAACTTTGCTTCAGGATAAGAACAGAAACAGGGCTCCAGTGGCACGGCGGCAGCAGGAGGCCCCATTAGCTAAAGTAGTGCTTCAGGTTAAGAACCGTTTCAGGTTAAGAACGGACCTCCGGAACGAATTAAGTACTTAATCCGAGGTACCGCTGTAGTTAAATCTCTGAGTGAGACAAACACATCGTTATAAATAGGGCACATGAATGTAAATACATGTACATGGGCACAAACTGCACCCTTCCAATAACCCAGTTTGCTTGGGTTGCAGCTCTGGTTCATAAAGTACAACCAGATCTCCTGTAAGAACAAAAACGCCACTCAAATTCTTAGCTTTCATAAATATGTAAAATGTGGAAGCAACAAGGCCTCCTATTCTCCATAGTGCAAGAAAAAGGTTGTTAATATACTTTAGAAGTATCCCTCTTTTTCTCTCTAGAGTTCGAAGAATATGCTATACAGTATATCTTTATCATCAAAGTTGCACTCATGAAGCTTTCATATGCTACAAAGCCTTCAAGTAAAGATGTTGTCAGGGGTTCAGGGAGAGAGGCACAGATGAGGGAGGAGACTGAGAGCGAGGGGGAAGAATCCCGGAACGAGGAGGAGGAGGATGACAATGACTTGAGGGTTTCCATGAGTCTTTCAAGTGAATCGGAGGATTCCCAAAAGGGGGCGCCCCTGGTCAGGCCAAGGGGAGTCACAGGGGGGACTCGTCAGGAGCAGGGGAGCAGCAGGGAAACCCCGAGTGGGAGTTGGAGATCGGGGCCGGCTTCCCCGCCGGAACAGAGTGAAGAGGGTGGAGTTCCCAGTGTGACAGGCGAAGCAGAGCAGGAAGCAGAGAGGGGAAGGAGATCGGGGCAAGACGTCCTGCCGGAAGGGGCGGAGAGTAGTACAGAGAGTAGTGTAACTGTCAAGAGGAAGGTCAGAGGTAGCGAACGCGCGCCAAGTTCAAATGTGGAGGCGCGCGGAAATGCGGAGAGCCCGGAGGAGGAGCCTGGTCCCAAAGCACGGAGGAGGGGGGAACAGGCGTCTGGGGACTCAGCGTCAGGGGAATCCAGGAGGGGAGGAACCCAGGGGGGCAGAAAGACCCTGCGGAAAAGGAAGGACAGGAAGAGGTGGACCAGCACAAGCCTCTTAAACTGGTGTAGAGGCGGGACTGATTCAGAGGGGACTTCAGCGGTCTAAGCGTAACAGACGTGGGGCTGCGCGCCTCGGCTGTGGAGCAAACAATGTACTTCAATAAAGACTTTTGTAAATAAAGTGGACTTGGCGTTGGTCTCTTGTGAGCTGGGACCTGAGGCGGCCCTGACAGATGTGTTCAAAAGAATGTCTCTTGCATTACAGTGGTACCTGTGGTTACGTACTTAATTCGTCCTGGAGGTCTGTACTTAACCTGAAACTGTTCTTAACCTAAAGCATCACTTTAACTAATGGGGCCTCCTGCTGCTGCCGCGCCACCAGAGCACGATTTCTGTTCTCATCCTGAAGCAAAGTTCTTAACCCAAGGTAATATTTCTGGGTTAGCGGAGTCTGCAACCTGAAGCGTACGTAACCTGAGGTACCACTGTATACCCTTATGTAAAGATAGGAAGCCATCACCAAACACATTTATGAAGTGCCCGAGTAGTGTTTTCAGGCCCATTGAAATCACAATTTAAAGGCTAAACAAACATACAATTTGACAAGCATAGCGGAGCGGTGCTTAAGAAGTTAACAATTATAATAATGAGTGCCAAATCAATAAGGCATGATCAAGCTATCTACCCACTGGTTTCAAATCAATGGGCTTTAACACAATCCTTTACATATCTACTGATAAGTAAGTTCCATTGATCTCTCAGTTCTGTGCATATGTTTGCAGCCTAAATTTGCTGCATTGTACCCAAAGTCTAAACATATTTAGTCTTCATCAAGAAGAGAACAATATGGAATGCCCAAAGTCCAATCCTTCTGGATATCAGCGCTGCAGGAAATTCCCAAAATAACAAAACAAGTAATAGAAGCAACTCCAGAACTAGCCCTATTAAATATCTTCCACAAGTAAGCCACACCGCAATCAACTAAATACAGCCAACCAATCTTGGAAATGCTAACCTCTCACAATATCAATAAAATAAATAAATATACAAACAGAAAACCTACCCATGTGATGCTGACACAACCCCCCCTACATTAAGAATATGTAGAATGAAAGAACAACATCCCCATCTCTCTCCCCCACTCCCGTTTTCCCCAACTGCAAGATCATAGAATCATAGAATCATAGAGTTGGAAGAGACCACAAGGGCCATCGAGTCCAACCCCCTGCCAAGCAGGAAACACCATCAGAGCACTCCTGACATATGGTTGTCAAGCCTCTGCTTAAAGACCTCCAAAGAAGGAGACTCCACCACACTCCTTGGCAGCAAATTCCACTGTCGAACAGCTCTTACTGTCAGGAAGTTCTTCCTAATGCTTAGGTGGAATCTTCTTTCTTGTAGTTTGGATCCATTGCTCCGTGTCCGCTTCTCTGGAGCAGCAGAAAACAGCCTTTCTCCCTCCTCTATGTGACATCCTTTTATATATTTGAACATGGCTATCATATCACCCCTTAACCTCCTCTTCTCCAGGCTAAACATGCCCAGCTCCCTTAGCCGTTCCTCATAAGGCATCGTTTCCAGGCCTTTGACCATTTTGGTTGCCCTCCTCTGGACACGTTCCAGTTTGTCAGTGTCCTTCTTGAACTGTGGTGCCCAAAACTGGACACAGTACTCCAGGTGAGGTCTGACCAGAGCAGAATACAGTGGCACTATTACTTCCCTGGATCTAGATACTATACTCCTATTGATGCAGCCCAGAATTGCATTGGCTTTTTTAGCTGCCGCGTCACACTGTTGGCTCATGTCAAGTTTGTGGTCAACCAAGACTCCTAGATCCTTTTCACATGTACTGCTCTCAAGCCAGGTGTCACCCATCTTGTATTTGTGCCTCTCATTTTTTTTGCCCAAGTGCAATACTTTACATTTCTCCCTGTTAAAATTCATCTTGTTTGTTTTGGCCCAGTTCTCTAATCTGTCAAGGTCGTTTTGAAGTGTGATCCTGTCCTCTGGGGTGTTAGCCACCCCTCCCAGTTTGGTGTCATCTGCAAATTTGATCAGGATGCCCTTGAGTCCATCATCCAAGTCGTTGATAAAGATGTTGAATAAGACCGGGCCCAAGACAGAACCCTGTGGCACCCCACTAGTCACTCTTCTCCAGGATGAAGAGGAACCATTGATGAGCACCCTTTGGGTTCGGTCAGTCAGCCAGTTACAAATCCACTGAGTGGTAGCATAGTCAAGACCGCATTTTACCAGCTTCTTTACAAGAATATCATGGGGCACCTTGTCAAATGCCTTGCTGAAATCAAGGTAGACTACATCCACTGCGTTCCCTTCATCTACCAGGCTTGTAATTCTGTCAAAAAACGAGATCAGGTTAGTCTGACATGACTTATTTTTCAGAAATCCATGCTGACTATTGGTGATCACAGCATTCCTTTCTAGGTGCTCACAGACTGTTTGCTTAATGATCTGCTCCAGAATCTTCCCTGGTATTGATGTCAGACTGACTGGGCGATAATTATTTGGGTCCTCTCTTTTCCCCTTTTTGAAAATAGGGACAACATTTGCCCTCCTCCAGTCTGCCGGGACTTCGCCTGTTCTCCAGGAATTCTCAAAGATGACTGCCAGTGGTTCTGAAATCACATCTGCCAGTTCTTTTAATACTCTTGGATGCAGTTCACCTGGCCCTGGAGACTTGAATACATCTAGACTAGCCAAGTATTCTTGTACTATCTCCTTAGTTATTCTGGGCTGTGTTTCCTCTGCTGAATCATTTGCTCCAAATTCTTCAGGTCGGGCATTGTTTTCTTTATCGGAGAAGACTGAGGCAAAGAAGGCATTGAGGAGTTCAGCCCTTTCTGTGTCCCCTGTTTGCATTTCACCATCTTCTCCTCTGAGTGACCCCACGGTTTCTTTGTTCTTCCTTTTGCTACGAACATACCCATAAAAGCCTTTTTTGTTGCTTTTAACCTCTCTAGCAAGCCTGAGTTCATTTTGTGCTTTAGCTTTTCTGACTTTGTGTCTACACGTGCTGGCTATTTGTTTGAATTCCTCTTTGGTGGTTTCCCCCCTTTTCCATTTTTTGTACACATCCTTTTTTAATCTTAACTCAGTTAAAAGTTCTTTAGATAGCCACCCTGGCTTCTTTAGGCACCTTCCATGTTTCCGTCTCATTGGTATTGCCTGAAGTTGTGCTTTTACTATCTCCCTCTTAACAAACTCCCAGCCATCTTGAACTCCCTTTCCTTTTAGTATTACTGTCCATGGGATCTCACCCAGCACTTCCCTAAGCTTTATGAAGTCGGCTTTCTTAAAGTCGAGAAATTGAGTCCTAGTATGCTTGGCTGCTCCTTTCCGCTGTATAGTAAACTTCAGAAGAGCATGATCACTCGCGCCTAATGATCCTTCCACTTCTACCCCACTAACCAGGTCATCAACATTGGTTAGGACCAGATCTAAAATGGCTGTTCCTCTTGTTGCTTCTCCCACTTTCTGGACAATGAAGTTGTCTGCAAGGGCAGTGAGGAATCTGTTTGACCTTATGCTCTTGGCTGAGTTTGACATCCAACAAATATCCGGGTAATTGAAGTCCCCCATTACTACTATCTCCCTTCCTTTTGCATGCTTGGCCATCTGTTCCAGGAAGG